GGTATCTTGTACAAAACTTCCCCCTTAACACTGGAAACGTTTCCAGATGAATTTGGTAGGCGTTCCTCACATTTTGGCATCAAGAAACACTAATACCAACATTACAAAAATTCTAAGAATCTGTTTTGTTTTTTTTATCAAATAACACCTCAATTTCAAAAGTAGCTCAGAAGTTATAATGCAATAATAAAAAGGCAAATAACCTAACTAAAAAACAGGCGGAGGATTTGAATAGACATTTCTCCAAAGACGATATAAAATGGCCAATAAGCACTTGAAAAGGTGCTCAAAATTATTAATCATTGGGGAAATCCAAGTCAAACAATTTGAAATCTGTGAATTGTGTAGTAGGTTGATTATATCTTAATAAATCTGTTTTTAAAAAGGGAGCACAGAATGAAAAAGCACTGGGATGTCAAGACAACCTTGAAAGTAATAATTAGTAATCAGGTCAACTAACAAAGGGAAAGAGAATATAGGCAGCAGGCTGCTTGTAAACTTCTACCTCTCAGCTGGGTCTCCAGCACTTACCCCAATTGTATTAGAACGGTTCTGTTTTCTACTATTTCCCTTGGGAGTGTGATCCCAGGCCAATTAAAGAAATTGTTACATAAAAAAGAACTAAAATCATTTTATTCTAGTGTTTGGTTTATCCTACAGCTTTCACATGCTTTACTAAGAATGCATCTTACTATTCTCTTGGCCTTTAAATGAAGTTACAGTTTCAAAATATACTAAAATATAGCAGCTCATATAAAAGAAGGAAGAAAAATTTACATTTTGGATAAATTTTTCTAAATCTAGGCCAACTAACCTATTTCTAGATTAAAGATTTGAGTCTCGCCCTAGCTGGTTTGGCTCAGTGGATAGAGCTTTGGCCTGCGGACTGAAGGGTCCCAGTTTTGATTCCGGTCAAGGGCACATGCCCAGGTTGTGGGCTCGATCCCTAGGGCGGGGGAGACATGTGGGAGGCAGCCAGCTGATCAATAATGATTCTCTCTCATCATTGATGTTTCTATCTCTCCCTCTCCCTTCCTCTCTGAAATCAATAAAAATATATTTTAAAAAAAGATTTGAATCCCATTAGAAAGCTGTTTGTTTACTTTCCAAAGGATGTAATATTTTTTAATTACATTTCCCAGAGTGCTTGCTGAGGCAATTGTTCTTTTCACATCAAGTCAAGAGGAAGTTACTCTTGCAGTTACTCCACTGGAAGTTTGCATTAAGAGTTCTACTGAGGAATCAATGGGTATGGATTATATCTGTCATAGTGCTTTAATGTAATATCACTTTCTGGTTTTCTTGATACTAACCATGCAGTAAATATTAGTGGCATAATATTTATTTTTGTTTAAAAAGCAGTAAGATGTAGAAGATCATTAAAATGTTTAAGAGAGCCCTAGCCGGTTTGGCTCAGTGGATAGAGTGTTGGCCTGTGAACTGAAAGGTCCCAGGTTCGATTCTGGTCAAGGGCACATGCCCGAGTTGTGGGCTTGATCCCCAGTGGGGGACTTGCAGTAGGCAGCCAATCCATGATTCTCTCTCATCATGGATGTTTTTCTCTCTCTCTCCCTCTTCCTTCCTCTCTGAAATCAATAAAAATATATAAAATAATAAAATAAAATAAAATGTTTAAGAGATCCAGGATATTTACACAATCAGTAATTTAAATGCTTAGCTTTGAAATTCCAGTTGTTTTAAAATTAGGAGAATGGTTACTGAGAAAATTTTAAAGTTAAGATTTTAAAGTTTTTCTCATCCTTTATTATACTTTGTGTTTAGCATGAAGAAAAATTAAGAGGCCAGCAATCCAATTGAGATGACCTTTGACTACATAAGAAAAAGTATATTTGAATTGGAAATGTAAGATATTCCAGGCAGCAAATGTATAGGGAAGAAAATGTGAATACTTCTTAAGTCAGCTCTTCCAAGAGTTATCTAGATGGAATGGAGAAACTAAGGCACTATCAAATCAGGAGTTTTGGTATCAGGAAAATTTATGGGGTCTTTTTGGCACAAGTTGTTTGAGACTCTTTGACCTTGGATACTTTTTTTTGGTTATAGCAGTAAAGAAAGAATACAAAGGGAGGAACTGTATTATTTTAAAGTGAAAAACCAGTAGAACCGGGGATTAAGTTGTGTCAGATGACTTTTGTAGTGTTTAGTTTGTGCCAGGTTCTGTTCTAAATGGTTTTCATTTCTGAATTCATTTGATCTTTGTAACAACTCTGTGATGTAGGTACTATTATGATCCCTCTTTTCCATCTGAAGAATATGAAGCACAGAGAAGCTAAGTGACTTGCTGGTGTCACATAGTTAGTAAGTGGTACCTGGTGACCTGAGCACAGGGCACAAACTCATTTGTGCTGTTATTGCTTCTCTCAGATCTCCTCTACATTCTTTCTTGGCACTCAGGAGTGCATGATCTGGGAAATATACACTTGACTAGTGAAGGGGTCTGGTTTATATTCCATAATGCCATCTCTGAATAAAGATGGCCATTTAATAACCAGGAGACACTGTCTCTTATGAACAACTTTCTAATGAGTAGTTCTAGTTATGTTTGACTAGGGACCCAATTGTTTAATTCTATTATTGAACTCACTCTATGCTAGCACCCTGGAGTGACATGAGCCTTCTCGTTTGAGATTAATGTATTTGTAAGGTATTGTTTGGCCCTTTAAAAAAATGTATACCATTTATCCTTTGTTATTTTACTTACATAATTTATGTTCATTGAATAAAATAATTTTTAAAAAGCACTAATATAAGTCACCTGAAATCCCACTATCCAGAGATGAGCACTTTTAATACCTGTTTCTATATTTCAGATCTAATAGGAGATGGGTTGTGTGGAAGTAATGAAATGCCTTGAAGCTATTAAAAGTAATCTCATATTGTGTATATACACTCCTCTCTCTCTGAGAGTGTATATCAAAGATATTAATTGAAGCTAATTTTGTGGAAAACACAAGTGAAAAACAGGCAATGGATTTGAACAGACATTGACATGGCTTGTAATTGATGCTGGGAACTCAGCTGGATTGTTGTCCAGAGTCCTTGCACATTATGTGGCTTCTTCATATATGAAAGCATGAAGTCAGCATGGTGGCTGAGTTCCAAGAGCAAGTGTTGCAGGATAGAGGAAGTGGATAGAGGATAGATGGGGAGGCTACTGGTTGCTAAAGGTCTGGGCCCAGAAACCAGCACCAAATCACTTCATCATGTCCTATTGGTCAAAGTAGTCAGAGAGCCCGCCCACCCAGATTCTAGGAGAGGGGAAGTAGACATAGAACCCCTCTCTCAACGAAGGAATGTCACAGAATTTATGGCTATGTTTAACTTACCACTTAGGTTATATTTTTATATTCAAACTTAACAAATATCTCTAGAACTAATTTTATTCATTTTCCTACGATATTGAACAGATTTGAACAGTTCTGTATACAGTGAAATGTTTGTGGGTCCACATGAGTTTGAGTTCTTTCAAATTGGAGTTGACACTGAAATAACATTTTGCTGCAAAGAATTGAAGGTAAAGAAAAATTTGTACAAAATTAAAATTTTCACTGATAGTTTTTAAGAAATATTTCATTTTTCTTCTTTTTCTTTCAGGGAATGCTGATATTTTCGGAAGCTACACATGCTCCTATAACCATGCATTTTGATTTTCCTGGGAAGTAGGTCCTTAGGGAACTTTTCTGAGTTTGTTTCTTTTTCTTTTGTTATATGTTAATAAAACTATTTTAATCACTTTGAAATTAATTCGTACCTCAGGAATTCCTTAACCTCGCTAGCAATACTTATCAAACTAAATTTTGAAAGATGCCATAACATAGTATTTTTTAATTGGTAACTTGATTGAGAAAGATATATGCTTCAACAGAGTGAAAACACTTATAAATTTGATAGGAATAAATTGCCTAATTATAAAATAATACATGGCTTAAATCTCTGTGAAACTATGATACTTTTTTTTAAATATATTTTATTGATTTTTTACAGAGAGGAAGGGAGAGGGAGAGTTAGAAACATCGATGTTGCTTTTTCCCCCCTGCTGATAGCTCTCACAGACATGGTGAACGTTCCTAAAACCCGCCGAACTTTCTGTAAGAAGTGTGGCAAGCATCAACCCCACAAAGTAACACAGTACAAGAAGGGCAAGGATTCTCTGTATGCACAGGGAAAGCGGCGTTATGACAGGAAGCAAAGTGGCGGTGGTGGGCAGGCTAAGCCGATATTCCGAAAAAAGGCTAAAACTACAAAGAAGATTGTGCTGAGGCTTGAATGCGTTGAGCCTAACTGCAGATCTAAGAGAATGCTGGCTATTAAGAGATGCAAGCATTTTGAATTGGGAGGAGATAAGAAGAGAAAGGGTCAAGTGATCCAGTTCTAAGCTTCATATTTTGTTTGATTATATGACAATAAAATCATGGTATGTTAAAAAAAAAAAAAAAGAAAAATCGATGTTGAGGATGAGAGAGAAACATCGATCAGCGGCCTCCTGCACACCCCCTACTGGGGATGTGCCTGCAACCAAGGTACATGGCCTTGACCAGAATCAAACTTGGGACCCTTCAGTTTGCAGGCCAACACTCTATCAACCCAGCCAAACTGGTTAGGGCGAAACTATGATACTTTATATGATACTCCAGCACTGAACTTTCAAATGAGATTGGGTTTGGATAGCTGTTTTATAAAATTAGATCTGATGATTTCAGCTCTTAGCACTGTGTTAATCAGTGAGAAGACTAAAAGGACTTCTACTTTTACTGTTTCTTTTTATTCCTGAATTAGATATAATTTTTTCATATTTTCCCAATGTCCATCAGAAAATGATTGTGATGTTTGCTCTGACTTTGCCTTTTTAGACCTATGGCTTTAAGTATTGACCATATGTTATTGGAAGCTAACTTTGTTTTGGCTACATTAGCTGATGAGCCAAGTAGAGCATCTTCTCCGCAATCATTGTGTCTGTCACAAAAACGAAAAAGGTAAGGTCATGTTTTAACATCTTTATTGGCTAGGAAAAAGCCATTGCCATTTACTCTGAAATAATTCAGGAAACAATCGAGGAATAAAACATTCAATCAGAAATTTTGACAGAATCAGGAAAACTTCACTGTAACAGAAATATCACTTCTTGCTCTGGATATTTGCTTTTCCTCTTCTGGTCAGAATTTACCAAGACTCTCTAATTTATCTTTGTTATTACCCAAAACTCATTTTCATTTGTAATAGTTGCTTTTCAGGAGTGATAGGGTGTTAAGGTGCACAGGAAAGTCTATTCCTAGCTAAAACTCTCTTTCTCATAGGGACAGCCATTGTTTTTCTTTCCCCCTTTGGTCTCTTAATAACTTTCTTTCGGTGTTGGTGAGGGTGCTTCAACTGTAAAAACAACATAAAGTTACTATGGGAAATTTGGAAAATACATGAAAGTAGAAAGAAAAAAACAACCATCACCCACAATTACACTACCTAGAGATAGCCACTGTTAACATTTGGCTCACCATATTTCCTTTCAGACTTATTTTGCATATACTTGTGTTTTTAAACAAGATTGAGATCATATAGCATATGTAGTTTTGTGTCCTGTTTTTCACCCCAAAAATATTATATTGTGAACATGGCCCAATATCATGACTTGGAAACATGATTTTTAAGACTATACATTTCGTTGTACAGATATATAGTAATTTATTTGACTCTTTTTTTAACTTGGTCCTGTTACCATTTCACAATAGCAAATTATTAATACCTCAGGTCATGCACAGTAGGTTAAGAAAAATTCAAATCTGTAGAATTTCTAAATAATCATATATGTAAATCTTAACTTTGAAAACAGTTCCATATTATTTCAGTATATTCCCTAAACCAGTGGTATCATTGTCATCCCATATTGCTCCATTAGTTATATAAAAACTAGAGGCTCAGTGCACGAATTTGTGCACAGGTGGGGTCCCTCTGCCAGGCTGGCGATCGAGGCCTATCGGGGGGGCTGGCCGGGGGGAGGGACCCCAGGATGTTGGCTGGCTGGCCCGCCAATCGGGGCCTATTGGGGCGGGCCACCTGGAGGGAGGGGCTGTGGGAGGTTGGCCAGCCGCGGGAGGTTGGCTGTGGGAGTGCAATGACCACCAGGGGGTAGCTCCTGCATTGAGCGTCTGCCCCCTGGTGGTAAGTGCGCATCATAGAGACTGGTTGACCAGCTATAAAGGTATAAAAAATATATATATATTTATCTCAAAGTAAATAGTTTATTCATTTAATTTATATTAATACCTCAGGTCAGATCTGCCATGTTCAAATTCAAAGGTTGGTAAAAAAGATAGCAAGGCCATGGAGTCTATCTCAAGAAAAGTAGCACCCAGAAAGCTTTATGCTGATGAGATTCTCTCAAACATCTCTGCGTTGGAAAACTCTGGCAGTCCTATAATGAAAAGAGTGAATAGTGACACAGAGGAAGAGCCAGGGTCTCCATCTCTCAGGAAGGTAAAAGAAAAATGTTGAGACACAACCATGTCTCAGTCAAGAATTCTCATCATCTGTCAACCTTTTGCAGTCTCCCTGCTCCAGCCCACCCTCAATATCCTGAAGATAAATAAATTTTCTTACTTTTTGACAGTAGAGAGGTGAAATCAATCTGCGATGGAGAAAAGACTGATTTATTTTATAGACCGTTAATACAATTCTTTTTTTATGAGGTTGTTGTTGTTTTGCTTAATCCCTTCACCAGAGTAATTTCTAACATAGTATATTCAAGTAGGGATTTGGATCACTTGTTTTAAAGAATAAATTATGATCGTGTATAGCATACATATCTTTGAATACAAATAATACGCTAGTCTATAGTTTGTTTTCTAAAATAAATGTTCTTCTCATTTCATTTTTCAAATCTGTTTGGAGAATCATTTATTCATAGTGATACAATATAACTTTTATCCCCAAAACATCACAAGTTCCTTCATAGCAAAGTCACAGTTAATAACATATCAAAATACCAACCTTTTACTAGATTGATGATAAGCTTCACAGAATGCTAACATTAAACTTTATGAAATCTACTGAGGATAAACACAATTTATTAGAAACAGAAGTATCTCAAATAATGAGTTTCAATTTTACATTTACATTAATATTTTATTCAAGCCTGTTTTGCTATTGCTGCTATTATTGATTTGGGAATGAGTTTCTTAGTTAGAATTAGAAATCTAGGAGGGGAAATATTGTTTCTAAAAGTCACTATCTTAAGCTGTATAAAAGACTTTTTAGGACAGTAAAATTGGATGGGGGATATTGGGTGGATGTGTGGTGTGTGCAAAGCCCTGTGATGGGGGAAACATGGTGGCTTTAAGGAACTGAGGGCTGGCCAGTGTGGTTACAGAGTATCAGCCAGGAGGAAACAATGGCACAGGGTGAAGCTCGTGCTGAGGTTGAGAAACCCTGATGCAAAGGCTGCTGAAAAGTCTAAGAGCGACCAGGAGAGTATGGCATGAGGAAGGTACAAGAAGAAAGTGTCTAAGTAGGAAGTGGGATGAAGACTGAAAATGGCCATTGGCTTAAGGATGTGAGGGTTTTTGGTAACCATAATAAGAGTTTCTATGAAATGGTGATGTCAGGAGCTTTCAGATAGGACTAAATAGGAGAATAAGAAAATGGAGACAGCAAGTGTAGACAGCAAGTGTAGACAACTATAGCAGAGGTAAGGCGGGGAGGGAGGAACAGGATGGGACTTTTTATATATTTTAAGGATTAGAGACATTATTTTTAAATGCTTATATACCTATCCAGTAGAGGGGAGGCTGTGAGGCAGTAGGGAGGAAAGGATGGGCATTAGCTGGGAAAAGGGGTGCACTTCTGTCACAGGAGGAGAGAAAGGAGAAGATGGGAGTCAAGCAGAATTGCCTGCAGAATCTGCCTTTGTCCTCTGTCTCCTACAACCCTGGTGTTAGTTTAAATGGCTCAGGTAGGGGAGTCAGAAGCAGATCGCTGATTCCAAACTGTGTGCCTTTGGGGGAAGGATTCTGTTTTAGAGAATGCATTGGTCCAGTTGTGAAGGTTCTGGGTGTTTCATGAACCATCACCATCAAAGTTAGGGTGACCACATTGGCCAAGTTTCTGAAAAGGGGCTATTCCCTGGAGCACTTAATGAGAACTTTTACTTTGAATAAACAGTACAGTTACTTTCCCCCCTCCAGTTTTCTTGCATGTTCTTTGGGGCAGTTTCTTCTGACTAGCGAGAACACTGCGACAACCCTTAAAACAGTCTGGCAACAGCAAGTGACAGTGAAGAGGACATGAATAATGGCAGTTTTTACATATTCTAACATTTAATGACGGCTGAGTTACCCCACCCCCCACCCCATTTACTGACACACCTCAAACACATTTCACACTTAGTCTATATTGTCTTGGACTCCCTTGAAAAGCAGGATGGACTTCTGCTTTTCTAAACATCTTTATCTCGTACCACAACCATATGTAGAAATAGCTGCTTGTTAACTATATGTAATTTGCTTTAAATCCATTATACGACTTGGAAAGCAGAAGTTTTCTGTGCAGGAAAAAGGCTCATTAGAATTTTTTTTTTGCGCCCCGCCCCCCTGCCCCCAAAGATGTGCAAGTCCTAATAGCCAGAACCCCTCATTAGAATTCTTCAATGCATGTTCACATTAGAGCTTTTAGCATTTTCTTTGCCAGTTTTATAAAGGTATTTATTTTTTTATTTATTTAAATATGTTTTATTGATTTTTTATAGAGAGGAAGGGAGAGGGATAGAGAATTAGAAACATCAATGAGAGAGAAACATCGATCAGCTGCCTCCTGCACACTCCCCACTGGGGATGTGCCCGCAACCAAGGTACATGCCCTTGACCGGAATCGAACCTGGGACCCTTCAGTCCGCAGGCTGACGCTCTATCCACTGAACTAAACCGGTTAGGGCTATTTATTTTTAAAATATATTTGTATTGATTTCAGAGAGGAAGGGAGAGAGAGGGAGACAGAAACATCAATGATGAGAATCATTGATCGGCTGCCTCCTGCACGCCCCACAGATAGAGCTCGCAGTCCAGGCATGTGCCTCATGGGGAATAGAACTGTAACCTCCTGGTTCATAGGTCAATGCTCGAACACTGAGCCATGCTGGCCAGGCTATAAAGGTATTTAAACGTTCTTCAGCAGTCATTTGGAGTGCACCAATACTGCTTGTAGAGTTTCGTGACTAATAGGTATTTTTGTATTTGATTGCAAACATTTGAATTGTGGTGCTTTCAGACATAGTTATGCAGTCTTTTCTTGTGTAGTGCCATGATGTTTTTGGTCACTGCTTTTTATATTGTTATGATTTTAAGCAAAATCCCTGGGGGAGGGAGTCAAGAATAAAAATACTAGGTGTACCAGTTAATAATGTGGATTTTTTTCAATAGATGGAGTTACCAATGTGTTGATATATGCAATTTGATATGTATGCTATTTTGTTGTATTGACAAGCTTCAAAACTTCATATGTCAAATTTTCTGAAGGTGTTAGCATCACAGATATTTTTATGCTTAAAAATGTCGAATTTCGTGCCAAAAAAAGAGCATTTGTGGGAAGTTTTAATTCTGTTAACATCATAGATATTTTTACACTTAAAAATGTCGAATTTCGTGCCAAAAAAAGAGCATTTGTGGGAAGTTTTAATTCATTACTTTATTGTGAAGAAAAGTGCTGCTGAAAGTTATCGTATACTTCAGGAAGCTTATGGTAAACATGCTCCACCTCAAGATACTTGAGAACGCTGTTTTAAATGCTTTAAAAGTGATGATTTCGATGTGAAAGACAAAGAACATCCAAGTCAACCGAAAAAGTTTGAAGACCAACAATTACAAGCATTATTGGATGAAGATGCATGTCAGACTCAGAAACAACTTGCAGAAAGATTAAATGTTGCTCAGCAAACAATTTCCAATCATTTACAAGCAATGGGAAAGATTTTAAAGGAAGGAAAATGGGTGCTACATCAACTGAATGAAAGACAAATGGAAAACCGAAAAGTCATCAGTAAAATGTTGCTTCAACGGCACAAAAGAAAGTCTTTTTTGCATCGAATTGTGACTGGTGATGAAAAGTGGATTTATTTTGAGAATCCCAAACGCACAAAATCATGGGTTGATCCAGGTCAACCATCAACATCGACTGCAAGGCCAAATCGCTTCGGAAAGAAGACAATGCTCTGAGTTTGGTGGGATCAGGAAGGTGTGGTGTATTATGAGCTTCTAAAACCAGGTGAAACTGTTAATACTGATTGCTACCAACAACAAATAATCAATTTGAACCAGGCTTTGATCGTGAAACGACCAGAATATGCCAGAAGACACAGCAAAGTAATTTTGCTTCATAACGCACCAGCACACACTTCAAAACCAGTTAAAGACATGTTAAAATATCTTGCCTGGGAAGTATTAACCCACCCGCTGTATTCACCAGACCTTGCTCCTTCAGATTACCACTTGTTCCGATCAATGGCACATGCACATTCTGAGCAGCACTTCAAAACGTACGAAGAAGTGGAAAATTGGGTCTCTGAATAGTTTGCCTCAAAACAAGAAAAGTTCTATTGGGACGGTATCCACAAATTACCTGAAAGATGGGGGAAATGTGTAGCTAGTGATGGACATTACTTTGAATAAAGCATTTTTGATGTTTCTCTTGAAGTTATCGTGTTTTCTTTGATTACAAAATCCGCATTATTAACTGATAAACCTGGTATATAGCTACCTCCCTCACTTTGGAGACTTTTTATATATTGTAAAATCTTATTTGTGATAGCTTTAAATTATCCTGATTTTCAGATGCAATTTTCTGTAGTGTAAGGCAAAAAAGAATTTAATGGAAGTGATGCCTAAAAGTTATTTCTGTATATCTGACATAGAGCACTTACCTCCACTGTCAAAAAAGCCTGGATTTGGAGTGGAATGAGGTGGAAAATGAGTGTCTCTGTTCTTTGCCCCTTTAAGAATAATCTTGTTACCTGCACAGACTAAAATATCTGGCACAAAAGCATTCTTATGTAATATCTGATGATGTAAGCCTCTCCCTCCCCCAAACCTGTTTAAAAGTCAATTATAACCTGACAAACTAGACTTCTGTAACATCTTATTGTTAAGTCTTTGTGAAACCACCAAATCCCAAAGAAATGTTAACTGGTAAGCAATTGTACTTCAGATTTTGTGAGGAATTCATAAACAAAGGTGGCTGAGTGGATCAGTCAATTTAAGAACTGTGAACAGACTTCTAACTAAAACCAGAATGAATTTGGCTCTTGTAGCTCAGTAATGAGTCAGAGCTACCCACAATAACCTAATAAAAACCCAGGTTCATCCCAAAATGTTCCTCTTTGAATGAAAATGGGCTTTTTGTGGAAACTGACAATACCCACATAATTTCAAGCAATTCTTTCACATGTAGGCTAAAGATTTATGTATCTCATGCTTACACCGGTGACTAACACTGAATTTCACATGATACGCGGGCAACTATAGATCTCCTTGCAGAGGATGAAAGTTTTTGGCTCACTCTTGGAAATGGGCAAGGGGGGTTAGGTCCTGGAGACATCATCATCAGTAATTGCCTGGATGCTGCACTAATCTGTAAAAGACAGTTATACTGTTAAACTGTATTTAATTTGGATTTTAGATACAGAATGCTAAATTGAAACGACACCAGATTTTTCTGTGCTTTCACTTCATACCATGTAGAAGATGCAAAAGCCTTCTCAGCTAGGAAACCATGTGTATTTTACATTGAATTATCAGTCCATTTTGATGAATTTTTGAGGAAGATAAACTGATGTAGTAAACCAGCTGGTGAAAAAGAGCTAACGCAGAGAACTTGTAAAAGACAAAATAATAGCTACAAAGTACGGAGTCACTGCTAGGCTGACTAAGAGGGTTGGAAATGAGGACTTGATAGAGACCAACAAACTTAGTGTCAGGGTTGGTGTCTTATTTAGTTACTATTTCAATTAAGAGGAGTACACAGATTAGTATAAATACTATATTTATTAAATATCTTTACAGTTTATTTAAATGTATTTACAGAACTATTCCTGCATAAGTTATATTTCAGACATCCAATTCAGGTCATTGCCTTTTGGGTAAGACAAATAATGATAGTCTCAACAGAAAAAAGCAGCTCATTAGTATATATAAATTCAAACTTGCTTCATTATTTAGCCATCTTTGCCACAAACTACCTGCTAACCGTTAAAATTTTGACATTGACACTGCCAATTTTTAGTTGAGAAGTTCAATTTTACAAATATTTTTTAATGAATAAAATTCAAATGTTTTGTTTCATATTTTCAGTTTTATAAGCAGATTTCGTTTTTTTGTTTGATATTGTAAAATTTGTTAAATGCAAAAATGTGATTGTTTCCAGGGAAATTTGATGCTGTAGCTTCTACCAAAGATAGCTGGTATAAGGTGACAAGGAACCAAGAATTTATTCCAAAGTACAAACACTTATAGTTCTAGTCAATCTTGTTTACAATCTCCCAAACTCTCAAAAACGGACTCAGTAAATTCCCACAATTCCTGCCTTGTTACTTGATGTGGTAGGATGGTGGTACTGAAGGTGGTACTGAAGGCTACTGTTCTGTCCAAAACAAATGTAGCTGATAGGAGAGACACTCCCATCATGCAAAGCTTGAAATCTAGTTGCTAATCTAGATACAGCCCAACCCCCAGACATACACACCTGGAATGGATTCTTTTGTGATTTAGTACCCATCGACCATGTCAAGCCAGTACAGTAATTCAGGACAAATAACTTGTTTTCCCCTTCATTTCTTCTTTCACTTTTTAAGAGCCTAGGGCTCTACTGCATATCCGTTCGGTAAATATTTTTTGTGCGCAGGCAGCTTAAGTTCACAGGAAGAAATAAGGTTCTGATATGTTTAGAGTGCACATTTTAAAACAGAACAAAATAAAAATTTCAAGCATGTGATAAAAATATTGATTTTTTATAATACAGTATTGCTTTATAAATATAGATGGAAAAGCTATAAACTTTACTGGTCTTTGGTGCATCCAGAGAGAGATAATTTGCCTTTTGTAAATTAGAAATCCAAATTCTCTTTTGTTATAAAAGTCCATTACATGAGGCAAATGTGTGTGTGTGTCTTTTTTATACTGCTTGATTTAAAATACAATTAACACACACATCAAGTTCAGAATCAGACCCACCAAGTGGCATATTTCAGTCATACCCCACAGAGACTTGGGTCCTGTGACTGGAAAATTCCAGCATGGGTCCAACAGCCTCTAACCACTGAGAATGGAAGGAGAGTTACTTGATAAGCAGCACTCCAACTGACCTCTGGCAGCCAAAAAATTAAGTGCATAACACAAAAAGGACAGGGAAAAGAGAAAATATTTTGTATTACTAAATTTACAGGCCAGGTCCAAAAGTTAGTTCCACGGTGAAACTCAATTCTTGTCCCATTAAATTCAACATCACTGGAACAAACATATTGTAAATTTCTAACAATAATTTCTCAAAAGAGATAAGTTGATAAAATAAGTTGTATTAAAACACCACCAATCTAACTTTACAAAGATTGTGTTTGATGGGTTAAATGAGAGCAAAGCCAGTGACTTAATCAGCACTGCTCTACCAGGAATCAAGTCTAGGCATTGGAAAATTAATGCAAAATATATCCAGATCATAGGCTCTGTACCTCTGACCAGAAATAATTAGAAATCCAATAAAAGAACTAATGTCATCAGCCCAAGTATAAATGTACTTCTTGCAACAAAACCCTTCTGGATGCAACTTTCTTTACTTTTTAAAATACACAGAGACTGCAAATAGTTTGTGCAAAATAAATACCCTGCCACTTGCCACTCTGGCTTCTGTGTTTTATCACAGCACAATGGGTTCTCATTACTTAAACAGTCTCCCTCAACCCCCCATCTCATCTACCAAAGAACTGTTTTGTCAAGTTAGGGTAGTTAAGGCATTCTGACATGTAATTAAAGGTGATTCAAAATAGATATCTAACATTATGCCAATTTAGGAATAGTAGATAAATTACTGAACGGCTTACAAATGAATAACTCATTCTTATTATAAATGAAATGCCTGTTACAAGCATGATGCATTGAAATATAGTAATGACATGTACATGGTACATGTTAAACAATTTTAAATAAAACAAAAGCTTGACAGTTACTCAAATATACAGTACAAATTCACAAAAACAAAATCTTTTAAAACAAGTTGAGGTAACCTCAAACATAAATTTTAATGCAATAAACCAGGGAGTATGTATCTCCTTTAGAGAAAGAGACTTTCTATATTCTCCTCAAGTAGATTCTCATCAGGTTTAATTGCATTCTCATCTATACACCAATGTTACCTGACTTATATATAAAACATGGCTTTAATTTAAGGATTGCTAACTATATTTTTCTACCACCAAGTTAATGAAGAAAAAAGACTGACCCAAAAATATATATCTTTACAGCAGTTGACTTATACACAAACCTTAAAAATAAGTTTGAACTTGCAGATAATGGGAAAACTGAATGTGGGATAGTTTTATAAGGAAACTATACACTGCAAGATGGCTATTTGGAAACTGTAAACATTAAGCTTGATTCAGAAACCCCTAAATTTCTGTGTAGGGCAAATGCAAATGTCAGATCATCACTAGTTTTCCTCATGGACTCTTGTACTGCTGCTACTGCCCACCAGTGCTCCTTCCATATGGACCCCCTGAATTTGGTGCATGCTCTATAGCAGCGGTTCTCAACCTGTGGGTCGCGACCATCGGAAAACACATATAGCATATCAGATATTTACATTACGATTCATAACAGTAGCAAAATTACAGTTATGAAGTAGCAACAAAAATAATTTTATGGTTGGGGGTCACCACAACATGAGGAACTGTATTAAAGGGTCACGGAGTTAGGAAGGTTGAGAACCACTGCTCTATAGAAAGCAAGGCTACTAAAGGGTCTGAGTGAGACTATGAGTAGCATGACCCCCAAAATCCAAAATAACAGCTGTCCATTCTCAACCCATTAGGCCTATGGGCCTAGAGCTCCCACACAGGGGCATCATGTCAGACAGCTGGGAGGATTTCAGCCATAACATTAAATTCCTTGGCTTTGAGGAGTTCTACAATCTTGAGTAACACTCCCATTAAAATTTTGGTAAAGAGTCTCCCTACTCCTCCTGTAGTTCAGGCCACCAGCCTGTGACTTGGATGAATCAATAAACTGCCAAAACTTTGATCACAGGATCACAATTAAGCATCTTTTAAAAACATGAAACGTTTGCATCCATAGAATTAAACTGAAATTTTCTTCCAATTTGTAAGAAAAAAAGCTCCTGGATCAAGATTTCATAATTCAGAGCAATGTTTTAGAGCAGAATTATAAGCCCCTGAAAAATAGGAGTTTATAATGAAAACACAAAGCCACACCCAATCATCATAACAAAGACTGTATAGTACACGTGTAACATTTCTACATTTCTGTTGATGAATATATGTTTCTAGGAGATGTACCATAACATAGAATTTGTGTTAGACTTTTACACACTGTAATTTTGAATTCACTTTACCAACATTACTCATTTTCTTCAATACTTCAAGCATTTTTGAAAAGTAATAGCCATTTTAGCTTTGAAAACCTCCCATCCCATCATGGAAAGGACAATGAGAAGTGAAGGCCAATCTTCAAATCTTGATTCTCTTCAAAGTTGCTGGCAGATATGAGCTAGTGAATGACAGTAGTGGTTCTTAACAAAGATCTCAATGGGGTCTCAAAAAGACAGGCAAAAAGGCTTACATCACTGGCCATTGAGATCAGTGGCAAAGAAACGTGGTCCTGCCAGCAGGATCAGTACACACGGCTGGGGAAAATTTGGGATGATGGAAGGAAAGGCAGGAATTGACACCTAGGTGTGTCAGTCTGTATACTCAGCCACTATGGAAAGAAGGACGGTGATGTCATCTGGCTTTCCACCTAAAACAAAAATGAAAATGTAGTCATGTATCTTAAAAAGAAAAGTCAATCAAAACTGTAAGCCTAAGTAAGTTCTAGGAGACAAATGCTTGCAATTCATGAAGGTTTGATTTGTCAATATATTTTAGTAGAGGAAAGAAAAAAAATATTTGATAAAGAGAAATAAAGCCCAGCCGGTGTGGCTAAGTGGTTGAGCGTCAACCTATGAACCAGGAGGTCACAGTTCGATTCCTGGTCAGGGCACATGCCCGGATTGAGGGCTCGATCCCCAGTGGCGGGGCATGCAGGAGACAGCCGATTCATGATTCTCTCTCATCACTGATGTTTCTATCTCTCTCTCCCTCTCCCTTCCTCTCTGAAGTAAATAAAAATATATTTTTTTAATAAAAGAGAAGAATGAAAAAACCAAGAAATTACATGTAACTGAACTGACGCTTAAAAAAACCTTCCCTGTTCTTTAAAAAACAGTAGTTCTGATAAAATGGCCACTACCTCCTGTTTATAGCAATCACAATAAAGAAAATCTGGTTAAGATAAATTCTGCCTGAAGCAGCAGCCATGTAGGTTGCTTGGTAAAAAAAAAACAAAAAAAAACAAACAAAAAAAAACCACACACACAAAAAAACAGAAAAGATAAATTCTGCCTGACAAGAAAGTTACATGTTTCTATCCACAATCCTAATTTGGACAAACATACCCACTGTTTTGAAATTAGGAACAATCTTGTATTCTAATCTGCCAAACAGCTATGGCATGTGCTTTTTCCTATTTTAATATTTCCTGGAAGGCTAAGAAATACTTTACATGTCATAATATTATACTAGCAAGAAACTGACCAACTGTACTAGTTCTGATATGTTACCACCAACACATCATCCCAGCTCCAAGACTGAGCTACTGGCCCTCTCCCAAAGTTACATATCACTTAGTAGATAGAAGGGCTCTTCAAGCAAGGACAGGTTAACATTACTTCCCTCTTCAAAACCTGCTGTGGCAATTTGGCAGGCAAATACTGTCAACGAGTCCCACAAAGCCAGAGGAAGGGAGAAGTGAAATGTCAGACCCGTGAAGGGCAGAATGTTAAACTGCTGGGAATGTCCAGTCCTTCCAGGCAAAGTTTGGAGGCCTCTTGGGCTGAGGTCCAAGCAGTGCAGTGGTGGCAATAAAGGGCTTCAGATTCCGCCTGCCTCTGTAGCCTATGAAGTTCAGCTCTGAAGGGCGTCCTCTGTGAGGAAGACATGATGACATGCACTTGCTCTTGTCTTCCAGTGTTAAGGCCTAATGACCTAGCTCAAAGCCACCGCTCACAGCTAAGACAAGACATCTCAACAGTCCCACCCAAGTGCTCTTGTTTACCTCACCCCACAGCTTAGAATGTTCCCATCTTACTTGTCCCTATGACCTTCCTAAAGAATGCTTACCTCTCACATTCAGTCCGTTGTCACATGCAAACTGTGCAAAAGGTGACATATAATTTGGGTCATAGGCCAGCTCATGAGCTTGCTCAGCAATGCTTCTTGCCGTCTGTTGTATACTCTCATAATTTGAATTCTAAGATGAAGGATGAGGGAGTTATTTTTACCATAATGTCTCACATGATTTTTGTATTCAAGTATACTTACAAATAGCACTTTTTAAGACAGTAACATTTATCCCATCAGTTTCCACCATTTACTTTTTAAAAAAAATATATTTTATTGATTTTTACAGAGAGGAAGGGAGAGGGATAGAGAGTTAGAAACATTGATGAGAGAGAAACATCGATCAGCTGCCTCCCGCACACCCCCTACCGGGGATGTGCCCGCAAACAAGGTACATGCCCTTGACCGGAATCGAACCTGGGACCTTTCAGTCCACAGGCCAACACTCTATCCACTGAGCCAAACCGGTTAGGGCCACCATTTACATTTTACTCCAGTTAGAGAAGACAATCAACATTGCACCCTGACTAAAATGAATGAGCCCACCAGTGCTGCCTGCATACAATGTGAATCAGAAAGTATTTGATAGGTGGCCTTGGGCCCTGAGGTTTGGGTTTTTATTTCTGCCTTTTTCCCCATTTGAAATTCTTAAGGTATTTTTGCTAAAATAGGATGAGATTGAACGGGCAAATTTTTATAGCACTTTAGGGATGACCTCAAAAATTTCCTTGCTGCCCTAGCCGGTTTGGCTCAGTGGATAAGAGTGTTGGCCTGCGAACCGAAGGGTCCCGGGTTCAATTCCAGTAAAGGGCACGTACCTCGTTCCTCGGTTGCAGGTTCCTCCCATGCCCAGGCCCTGGTCAGAGCATGTGAAGGAGGCAACCAATTGATGTGTTTCTCTCAGATCGATGTTTCTCTCTGTCTTTCCCTCTCTCTTCCACTCTCTCTAAAAATCAATGGAAAAATATCCTCGGGTGAGGATTAAAAAAAATAGTATTTTTTTCCCTTGCTTATAAATGTGCTCCTGGCCAACACCAAAAATTTGCTCTCTAAGAGCTGCCAGTTTCCCTACTGAAAATACCTTTAGAATTTTATATCATGATGAAGATTCTTATCTAGCTGTATAATCTTGAGCCAATCCCTTACCCTTGCTACTTCCAACTTCATCAGTAAAATGGAATGGGAAACAAGGTCCATTTTAGCTCTAACATCCTAAGATACAGAATGGTTTCAGTATAAATAATAATAGGCCTCTGCTTAAATGTTACCTCAGTGAGAGGCCTTCCCTGACCAATCTTTCTAAAACAGCAGCCCTCTCTATTCCCTATCCCTTCACCCTGCTTCTTCTTATTTACCACAAACATTACAGGGTGGGGCAAAAGTAGATTTACAGTTGTTCGTATGCAAAATAATACAAGCCCTAGCTGGTTTGGCTCAGTGCATAGAGTGTCGGCCTGCGGACTAAAGGGTCCTGGGTTCAATTCCGGTCAGGGGGACATACTTTGGTTGCAGGCTCCTTCCCAGCCTGGGCCCTGGTCAGGACTCGTGCAGGAGGCAACCAATCGATGTGTTTCTCTCACATCGATGTTTCTCTCTGTCCCTCTCTCTTCTACTCTCCCTAAAAAAGCAGAATTTTAAACTGACCATTAAACATAATCCAAAGTTTATAATTATACATACATTTATGTGTGTGTATACACACACACACACACACACACACACACACACACACATTATTACAGCTGTTCATTTGGAAAATAATACAATAATTAATAAGTAATACAAGAATAAACTGTTTTATGTACTCATAACTATAAACCTACTTTTGCCCCACCCTGTATATTATCTTTTTCTTTCTCTGTTATTATCTACCTTCCTCCACTAGAATAGAAGCTCCAGAGGATAGGGACTGTCATTTCTGCCCACCACCCTGTCACCACAGAGTATAGTACTACTACAGTAAGCACCTGGACTTTACTGAACCCCACAGATGAGGCCTGGTACTAAGCATTCTGTACTCCTGGTCTCAGTTAATTTTCACCATAACCCTATAAAACAGGGCCTTTTGTACCCCCAATTTACAGGTGAGGAAAATATTGCTTAAAAGGTTTAAAAACTGCCCTAACCGGTTTGGCTCAATGGATAGAGCGTAGGCCTGTGGACTGAAGTGTCCCGGGTTCGATTCCGGTCAAGGGCATGTACCTTGGTTGCGGGCACGTCCCCAGTGGGGAGTGTGCGGGAGGCAGCTGAATCGATTTCTCTCTCATCGATGTTTCTAGCTCTCTATCCCTCTCCCTTCCTCTCTGTGAAAAATTAATAAAATATATTTTTAAAAAAAGGTTTAAAAATTTACTGAGTTACAGTGGTTAGCGATAAAAGCATGAGAAAAGGCTAACTTTTCCCAGAGTGACAATGTTTACAAAGCCAGAAGAATATGGAAACACTGATTTTCACTTTCTTCCATTCTCTGTATGGGTCAAAGCTGAACAGCTTTATTACTGGTGACAGCTCAGATCACATCAAGGCCCCTAACTGCCTGATGCCCTTGACTGCTGCCTTGGCTGGCTCTGGTATGATGACTTCCTATCTTTCCCAGCCTCAACACCTGCTGGGTTTGTTATGAGACTAAAACAAGAAAAGGACCAGGATGTAACACTATTTTTTATTTATTTATTTATTTTTAATTCTTTATTAGTTAAGGTATTACAAATGTGTCCTTATCCCCCCCCCGCACTCCTGTTCTCATCCCCCTGTTGTCCATGTCCATTGGTTTGGCTTATATCCATGCATACAAGTCCTTTGGTTGATCTCTTCCCCTAACCCCCTCCCTCCCCTACTTTTCCTCTGGGGAGTGATAGTCTGATCGCTGGAGGTAACACTATTAAATACCATTAAAATACAATGAAAAAATGCAAACAAGAAATTTCCTATCTGGACTTTTTCTACCTTTACCACCCTACTAAAAGCTTGGTGAAAAGCCTTTTTCCTTTAAATTCTCCATTTGTGAATATTTCCATTTACAACTGATTGAAAAACTGGTACTATTAATTTCCTATATTCACAAAATAGTCCTTTTCAAAACTATAAAAAGAGATAATGCAATTGAATGGAGAAAATTTAACTGCCCAGAGAGGGCCACTGTTTCCAAGGGCCAACCTTTCAGTTAATTACCTTTAACTTTTTTAGCTCCTGCAGGATCATATAATCAGGCATGTTGTCAAAGAGTCCATCTGTCGCTGTCAGGATAATATCTCCTAACTGGACATCAAAAGATGTGCTATCAGCAGCATCCGGGCTGTGGCACAGAAAGGGTAAGGGAAAGTTAAGAAAGCTCTTTAGAGATACCATTCAAAGTTTCCAACAGGCACTATGTTACAGTGTAATAATGCTTTAAGAAAAACTAATTTATATTAGGAGTCAATAATAAAAGCCAGTCATTCTGAAATTCCTAACCTTGAAAACAATTAATTAAACACTCTTATATAAATATTTCAAAAGCTTAACTGAAACTACCAAGTAAAACAGAGTGTGGTGATTAGTCATATGTGATTTCAGAGGAGGAAGGGTTCTTTTCTGAGTCAGATGCTAGCATGTCTCTAAAATCCTAGTGCAGATGAGTCTTTATTTCCTAATTCTTTAGAGCCACATTCCATCCTCTCTTATTCATTGTCCACTCATCAGTTCCCTACAGACTTGAACCTGGCTCTCAGGAGGTTGTGTTATAGTGGAATAACTATGAGAGCATGCAAATCCTCTAAGAATTCATTCATGGGAAACACATGCAATAATATAGTACTAATAATTACTAATGCATTATTGGAAATTCTATGTTAGTATTACTAAGGAGTACTTATTCTGGCAGAGTGAGGACTGTGTATCTCCCAGGGCTTACAAAGTGCTCCACATGCAAAGTATTTATTAGTGTGCCTGGTACATAGATCTTCAATAAATATCTGTTGAATGACTAAATGAATGAAGAAACAAAGTACCTGGCCCTCCAAATTGGGGAATAAAAAACACACAAAAATAACCTTTGTGATATGTTGTTAATGAAGAGAGGAAGGTACAGAGAGTGAAACAGATAACAGTGGCTGTCTCTGAGGAGAGAATGTGTGGCTGGCGGCAGGAGTAGGAGGTAGACTTTGCACTACATCTTTTTGCATAAAACTTTTAAAAATATAGATGGGAGATTTTTTTCCTCTGACAAAACCTAATGAAAGCAGAGAATGGGGGAAAAAAACCCAGGTGTGGAGAAAACAGAAAAGACCATATATTCAAAGAGTTAATGGCCCCCTGAGAGGCCAATTCTCAGCCACTTTCAAAGTCCAGATTCACTGCTTCCAGGACTCCAGGGTGAGGAAAAGGTGTGAGAGATACCTGATAACCTGCTTTAACTTGTAAGTGAACAAGAGCCAGGAAAAAATGCATACATTGACCCAGAAGGGTGGGGCCAGAACTAAGGCACCCTAAGCTTGACAGAAAAAAAACACACCCAAACCTGTATAAGCAACATGTTATAAAAGTTGTGAAGAGAAAACACAAGAAACTAACAACCCACCCATGCCTGCTGGAAAATGCCACAAAGTGCACTGAGAAAATTTCTGGTTCATCGTCTCCTCAGAGGAAAGAAGCAGCACATCTGTAAGTTCTATGATGGGCTTTCTCAAGGAACAAATTAACTTATACATTAAAATAATATTTTATAGATAAGATGGAGAAAAAAAGAAGAAAAAGAAAGGCCAGAGAGGGGGGGGGGGGGGGGGTACGGGACTAAAACTGGTGGAAATCAAGTTGATTTCTTCTGTGGAATAAAGAGAAAATACAAGACACTTCACATTTGCTCAGTCTTTGGAAGCTAATCAGATTCTACAAGTTTAGATTAATGACCAGGTTGGCACTGAAGCTCGATTTTACGCTGAGGTTCTCCTTTCCCCAGGAGTGTCCTTTGCTATTCTGCCTGTGAGAGACTCACTACCATTGGACAATTTGTCCTCTTCTCCCAACACTCCCACCCATGAGCTTGGTGTTCTGCCAGCTGCAGTTCTGCCCATTTTGATTGAACATACTGTGCTGCTGGAAACTTTTGACTGCACTGAAACACGAGCTGAAATCACATGCTAATAAGCTGTCTCTGGGCTCCAGGGGAAGAAACCTCCACCTCATTGGCAGGCCAGGCCAAGTGCTGCCCTAACCAGACTGTCCCAGAGATAGTGTGTGAGATACAGCAGGGCTGCGCTAGCACTCAGAAGCCAAAACAAGAAGAATCAAATAAAGGAAATTAAAACACTGTTCTCCAAAAACTGTTAGCTGAACTTAATATCTACCAAGGCCTTGGGGGTTCTAAGGTCTGCTCACTCCAATATGGTTAATATTAATGTGTATTACACTGAAGAAGGGCCCATAATCAAATATTCTTCCAATTATGGTAATCTGTCTTAATCTGAAAGTAAAAAATGCTTCCCTCTCTCTAGGAGTCAACAATAGATTTTAGATGGGCAATACTGAATACCTCATTATGTAATATGCTCATTCCAGTTTAAAAGATGGTAGTGATGGCCTAGCCAGTTTGGCTCAGTGTACAGAGCGTCAGCCCTCGGACTGAAGGGTTGCAGGTTCGATTCTGGTCAAGGGCACATGTGGGAGGCAACCAAATGATGTCTCTCTCACATTGATATTTCTCTCTCTCTGGCTCTCCCCCTTCCTTCCACTCTCTCTAAAAATCAATGGAAAAATATCGTCAGGTGAGGATTAACAAGAAATAAAAGATGGTAGAATAATCATTTTATCTTAGTTAGGGCTTAAGATCTGGTTTTATAAGAACTATTAAGTAGAGACAACAGATACTGCTAGAATGCTTCAATTTTTACAAAAGGTTTATCACCCAGTTAACAACATTTATGAATCACCAACAATGTTTGTCCTAGGTCTTACAATGTTGTTATAGACAGTGAAATCTGAGATTGTCTTAGCCTTATCTGTACTCTGATCTTAGAAAAGATAAACTGTAAAAGTTGATTTTAAAAAGTACTGATTGTCTCAAAAAGTTCTCTTCCCAATTTAAAAATGAACTGAGGGTCCTGCCAGTGTCACTCAGTGGTCAGAACAGCAATGACCTACACATGGAAGGGTCCCAGGTTCTATTCCCCATTAAGGGCACGTACCTGGTTTGCAAGTTCGATCCCTGCCCTGGTTAGGGCGCATGTGGTGCAGGAGGCAACCAATTGATGTGTCTTTCTCATACACTGATGTTTCTCTCTTCCCCCTTCCCTCTCTCCCTCCCTCCCTTCTACTCTCTAAAATCAATGGAAAAAATATCCTTGGGTGAGGATTAAAAAAAAAAGAACTGAGGGAAGGTGTCAGAAGAAAAAGAGAACACCTCAACAGCGTCATCACAGAACATATCCAAGACCACTTTTGATTCCATTTCCTGTAAGCTATCTTGGTCCCGACAGGTTCTGCCTGGACTGCAAGCTCTATTTGATACATGTAGTAGGAGGCCCTGAGAATCAGGAAGTTATTCTGATAAATAAAGCAGGGGCCTGTTTGTACTCTTCCCTAGTAACGTATGCAAAATCTTGCACAGACAATGGCATGCATGAACAATAACTCATTTCTCCAGCAAAATTTAACACAACTATACATACCATGTGATCTTGGTATGAAAAAATGATATTTTATAAGCTTGAAATAGCATTTTCAGTCTTGTCAAATTATTGGGTGTTTATTAGAATTCAACTTGGCTGCAATATCAAGTATATGCAAAGTATCTTTCGAAGTCAAACTAAAAGGTTCTCCTGATGAGAATATTCTCGATGTCTTTTTTTTCTCATTTGGGAATGGAAATTGCCCATCGCCACTGTGGTTGAGGGGGATGGGAGGGAACCTGTGAGTAAGCCACGCCCTGTTCACACTTTAATGAGTGAAAGGGAAGATTACCTGTCACTCAAGACGACTCCTTCGGCTTCTGGTGGTGCAATTGAGAGCTGGAATGGAGTGTTGAAGTAATGCTGCTGCTCATCTGATCGGTGCACAACTTCGCCACCCCTGACAACCAGAAAGCCTGAATCACCCAGGTTTGCTGTGTGTAATCGGTGGCTAGTTCTGTCCAGCACCACGATGCAGGCAGTACTGCTACCTAGAAACAAAAATAGTCTCCATTTATCTTCTCTTCCAAGGTTGCCTTTGTACACATATTTTTATCATATTACCTCAAAGAACAACATGCCATAATTTGAACCTTTGCTTAAAAAGGACCTTTCTTAGTTATGCTCCATGTCGCCAACGAATGTCATTAATAACCTGATCAGGGTCCAAATGGTGGGAAAGAAAAAGGAATTTCTATGATACATAGTACATGGGCCATTGATAATCTGAATTCTTCCATTTGCAGAAATATAAAACAATAAAAATGGCTGGTATTTAGCCATATTATTTAATTTCAATAGTGCTATTATCTATGCCAAATGCTCAAAAGCATGTTGTTGAGATATTAAGCTTTAATACTTAAATGCCAGAATGAGAATGCTACATTTCCCTGACATTTCTCATTAGTCACTGGGAGGAAGCCTCCACAAAATTCACTAGCATTTAAGACAGGGCATGCAACTACAATTTTTAACCAGATTTCCATCTGTTGAGGTCACAAAGAACTTTTATTTGGAACTGATTCACTCTGAAGTAACAAGACTAATTTTCCCAGGTGGCTTGTGGAATTGACCCGTTCACTTTACAGAGACTACTAATGTTCAGATGGAAGAGACCACATTCTAAGTAGAGAGCAAAAGCTTCCATGTTCCTTTGCAGCACATAGCTCGCATGACCTTCCCCAGAATGAAAGGTTGCTATTACAACTAGTAAGATTACTTCAAGTACTAAAATTTAATATCTAAAGAAAAAAAGACAAAATAGAAATATAAGCAGTTCACCAAGAATTATATGAAAAATGATCATCACACTACTATTTTGTCTACTAGTTTAACAAGAATCAAAAGAAGGTAACCCATGCTGTTATCAAGAGTATATCAAACATGGTCACTCTCATTCCATAGTGGAGAGAGAGCAAAACTAAACAACTTTTCTAAAGGGCAATATAGCCCTAAAAATGTGCATATCTACTGGTAAGAATTTATTCTAAGAAAATAATTAGAGATGCAAATAAGACTTAAGTATCAAAACACCGTTTAATATTAGGAAGAATTGGAAGCAACTGCTACATCTAAAATTAAGGGACTGGTTAAATAAATTATAGTACATCCGTACCATGGCAGGCTATATACACTGTCACATAAATCTTAAAGAGTATTCTCTTAAGTAAATCAGCCTGCTGTGTCTGAATACTACCTCTGCTACTTACTAGCTGTGTGACCTGTGGCAAATTAACCTCTTGGTGCCTCAGTGCCTACATCTATGAAAATAGGGATAACAGTAATTACCTCATAGCGTTGTTTGTGAGGATAAAATTAGTTAAATCATGTCAAACACTTATAATAATACACAATAAGTGTTAGCTTTCTTTTTAAAAATTTAAATTCTTTATTGTTGAAAGTATTACATATGTCTTTTTCCCCCGTTGACCTCTCCCCGGCTGCTCCTGCACCTCAGAACATGCCATCTCCCCGCTACTGTCTGTGTCCATTGGTTATGCTTATATGCATGCACACAAGTCCTTTGGTTGATCACTTACCACCTCTCCCACCAAGTGTTAGCTTTTTAATAGCCACTAAAATTGTGTTAGAGAAATATATTTGAAAAGGAAGGACGATAACTTAAGTCAAACAAGTAAATTACAAGCTAGTATTGAGGTTTTCTTTAAAAAAAAAAAGTGATACCAAACTTAAAGAACTGTACATCAAAAACAGTGAAATTTATTTTTTTTTATTTAAAATATTATATTTTATTGATTCTCTACAGAAAGGAAGGGAGAGGGACAGAGAGTCAGAAACATCGATGAAAGAGAAACATCGATCAGCCACCTCCTGCACACTCCCCACTGGGCATGTGCCTGCAACCAAGGTACAAGCCCTTGACCGGAATCAAACCCGGGACCCCTGAGTCCGAAGGCCAACGCCCTATCCACTGAGCCAAACCAGCTAGGGCTGAAATTTATTTTTTTTAAAGCAATAGTAAGGCAAAGGCCAAACTGTTAAGCAAAATGAAATAAAAAAACAAAAACAAACAGGGTGTGGAATTCGCTGTGTTAAATCCCAGTGTGCCATCATTTTTTAGTTTTGTGACTGCCGGCAGGCAAGCCACTTATTCTCTCTAGGCCTCAGTCTCTTCCTAACAAAATGGTGAATAAATGTACCTCTGAGCCCTAGCTAGGGTGGTTCATTTGGTTGGGTGCCGTCCCATGCGCCGAAAAAATTACTAGTTCGATTCCAGGTCAGGGTACATGCCCGGGTTTTGGGTTAGATCCCCAGTAGGGGGCGTGCAGGAGGCAGCCTATCATTGTTCCGCTCCCAATATTGATGTTTCTCTTTCTCCCTCTCTACTTCTCTCTCTCCAAAAATCAATAAAAATATTTAACATCAACAAAAAAGTACCTATGTACCTAGTTCATGGCACTGTTGTGAGCACACAGTAGATTCAATTCCTGTTATCATTATACTATGCACAAACATGCACAGAAAAATAACAGGAAGCATAATCACTGATTTAATTTTTGCTATTAAATTTTTCTAAATGAAAATGTATAACTTAAAAACACTTAAATATAAGCATTACCCTCATTATAATGTTCAGAAATTCCATTTTTTTTGCTTCTACAGTATATGCATGGGTACTAACCTGACACTCCGATGTTAACCTATCTAGTCTCTATCCATTTAATGTCAAAGAAAAACAAAGGCACTATAACAAACTGGAAGTGCTGTCAGATAACCTACTCCATAGCTTACATTAGAGCCAAGATAGCCAATTACCCTTCCTTCTTAACTCAATGCACAGAAAAATCCAATCATTTATCATTAATAGAATCATCATACAAAATATGTTCTGCCCCATAGCCACTTGTCAAAAATATGAATAGCATGGGGCACATGTTCTTGCTCAGTTCTCCACCCCCCACTTCCAGTCTCTTGGTCACTGAACTCTATAATGAGAGAAGCAAAGGGAAAAATAAAGAAAAGATAAAAAGATCTTCTGAAAGCTGATAGAATTAATCTGAGAACAAAAAAATGACAGATGAGTAGCACAGCCTTAAAATTTTTGCTTCAGTAAGGACTCATTTTGATTTATTAAACCCAGACTATCATTTTGCTATGGTTGTAGCTGTAACCCGCTGAGTTAGTATCAAAATGGTCCTCAGAAGTGAAGGAGCTTTATTATGCAAAGCAGTACCAACAAAGGCAAGCCTAGCCTTATAAAATCATCTGGGCATGGAGTGTACACTCCTCCTTTGCCTCTTCAAATTACTGATGTGTGCACAAGGCTCAGGCCCTAACAACCTAATACTGGGAGAAGAGCTTATCACTCTTAGGTGTTTGGAGAGGAACAAGTAGGCAAGGAGGAAAAGATGCTGAGAATAACAGCAATGAGTGCTCAGATGACTGGCCAATCCAGACAGGCACCCAAGTAAATCCCTCATGCTAAAATGGAAATGTTTTTATCACTTGGCCCCTTATTTTATAAACAACTAAGCCTTTAATGTAGCAAATAGAGAAAGGAATAAGCTTATTAGGAATGACCCCTCAAATTCTTAAGATATGTTGGCTTCATAAGACCTAAATCTACTTTAAGGATTTCTGAGGAAATATATGCTAACAATTAGCCTGTGATGCCAACCCAGATCTAAAAGCAATTAGATAGTCTCAAGAAATAAGTGGTTACTGCTATCAACTTGCCCTCCATATTGATAGTGTTATAGGCTTTGTAGCAATTGCTTGATTTAAAAAAAAAAGATTACCTAATCTTGTAAATTATCATTATTTGCAATTATATGAGGTTTAGTAAAACTCAGCAGTCTGTCTTGCCAAAATACAAGTGTGCTTAAATTTAGTTACAAATAGCTTAGATATTTGTAGATTAGGTAAGAAAAAAGTACATATGTGTCAAACACGGTAACAAGGATTATTTCAATGTGTCTTTTAGGAGAAAAAACTATAATATTCAATGTGAAAAAAACCTTTGATATGTCCTTAAATTTATTAAGATCTCCCAATTACATAAGGGTAAACAAAAAGGGAAGTAAGGATAAGGAGAAAAGTTAGCAAGAAGAAAGCTTTCAAAGTGCAAAAATAGGATAGCTGCTATTCTGTAAATGGTTATTCCAAGTCACAATAAATGCATGGGGTTGGGGGCAGAGGATTCATGGAAACATTCAGACCTCTGGAATTTGTCTATAGGTTCTCTGTTAGATGTTAGACTATTAGATGGTATTCTGCAATGTCCTCTTTTCCCTCAACAACATGTTTCTGAGTGCTGCAGGAAGCTTTAAGTCCCCCCCCCGCCCACACACACACACACGCACACACGTCTCTCCATTCAACATATGAAGCAAGGGTCAGGGGTTAAGAGGTTTGCATAAAGTCATATGGCATGTTGACAGAGAGGTACTAGAAAGAGAATTAGGATGTTTCACTATGCCAGGCAAGCTCCAAATTGCATGCCCAAAATAGCAAATTAAGACAAAGCAGTATATTGAAACCTCAAGGCAAGATTTCTCTTCAGTTACAAATAAAATAAGCTGGTTAATCACAGCACAGAGAAAAAAAAAGATGGCAGCATAATGAAAAGAAACTGTTCTTAAGGATTTAAATTGAAGGCAAAATTCTACAATGTAGAGCTCTCCATTAACACTGAACAGAGGCTGATTTTAAATTCGGATGGTGACTGCAGGGGGGGGGGGGGGGGGGGGCTTTTTAAAACCAAATTTTAAAAAGAAAGATGCTGGCAATTAGCAGAAAATTAATAACACCCTTTCTGAAATTCTGCATAGAAGGCTGGGTAGGTTGTTGGTTAAGTTTCCAGGAAACCATTTAACAAATAAATGTAGAAGCTTGGCCAAAGGCTGCTCCATTGTATACCAAATGAGCACTAGGTATTTGGACATTTTCTAATAACAAGATTAACAGGAATCTATTTTGTGCCATGGTATTTCAGCTAACTGCTATTAGTCTGGTGTATCTATCTGCAACCTGAACTCCCCACAGGTAATCAACTGAATTTTTCATGCCAGACCTCACTCCTTTCTTCCTCCCTTGGAAAGAACCCCTATTCTGAATTATATAATCACTTGCTTTTCTTTCTTCTTTTATCATATTTTAGAATCCCTAAACAATTTTTACTTTTTAAAAATATGTTTTTATTGATTTTAGAGAAGGGGAAGGGAGAGAGAAACATTGAGAGAAATATGGCTGCCTTCTGCATGCTCCCCAACCAAGAATCGAACCAGCAACCTTTTGGTGCATCGGACAACACTCAACCAACTGAGCCACACTGGCCAGGGCTGTTCCTGAGTATTGCATGCAGCTTTAAATCATTCCTTTTCTAAGTGTGTTTTTCTACTATAAATGGACTTCTAGGTTGTTCCCAATTTTCTGCTATTATAAATAATGCTACTATAAACATTCTTGTGCCTACTCTTTGATATATGGATGTGTAAGAGTTTCTCTAGTCTAGGGTGTAGACCTAGAAGTGGAACTGCTGGAGCATACTATCTGGTCATGTTTAACTGTATTCTACAATTCCAAATTGTTTTCCAAAGTGGTTGTACCTATTTACATTCTCTCCAAGCAGTAGTATTTTGTAAGTAAACAGTAAGTATTTAATAGCTTCTTTATCAAACGCTGCTTAAAGGTAGGCTGATTAATTTCTTGGTTTTACTGTTAACCATTTCCTGGGCATCTTTAGAGAGGAAAACACATAGGACATCGACTTACCAAGTAAAGGTACTTTATTTTGCAGCAACTCACAGTAGCTTGTGGTGAGGATTCCAATGGGATTACTCGGGACAAACCGTCCTTCTTTTACTAACCGTTCACATGTCCGCATTAAAGTCCCTGAGAACTGAGACGGATCAACTCCATAGTCTCTCCATCCTCCTACACCATCTGCAACCCCTAAAAAAAAAAAAAATTACATTTAAAGGATGTTCTTACCAACTTTTCAGGGATTCCTACCCATCTCCTCCTGACAGTTCATTTTACTACATACCTGTAAACATATTTGCCCTGAAATTCAGAATAAAAAGTGCTCAAGTTTGATATATTATACTCTAATACTCCTAAGTCATATTCTCTAACTTAGAATTTGATCTTTCATATATTTATGAATAAACATGCGAGCTACCACAGAGTAGCATTGCCTACCAGCCAAGAGTACAATTTCAGCAGGATTATTATTGTATAGAAGAAATTTGTGCTATTAATTTTTGTTGTATTTTATAAGAACGTAAAGTGATTTAAAAAAAAAAAGAGTTCTGATGCTAATGACAATGAAACTGATCCACAGCTGGCAATCATTAAGAATACCAAAAGCTGCAATCTTTTAACTTCAAAAATTAGTCAATAACTGTAAAATAAAGAACAAATTTAAGAATATATCCCATTCCCTTTCCTCCTCCCTAAGAGAAAACCACTATCCTGTCCAGGGCTGAGCTTTCCAATAAAACAGCCACTACCACATGTTGCCAGTGAGCCTTGAAATGGGGCTGATCCAAACTGAGATGTACTCTAAGTATAAAATGCACACTGGAGTTTGAAAACTTGATATGAAAAAAGAAGGTCAACTATCTCATTAACTTCTATATTGATTACATGTTGAAATAATATTTGGGATATAATGTGTTAAAGAGAATACATTATTAAAATCAATAGCATCTGTGTTTTATTTTTAATTAATGTATAATAAAAAAGTCTCAATAGTAATAAGGATAGTAAGAAAAAAATATCCTTCTGCCTGCTGTGGAGAGCAACAGTGGAAAGAAGGGATGAGTCAGGAGTCTCAGCAACTCCGTTATGAAATGGTGGCAGTGCAGTTAGAGTGCAGGGATTTGGGATCTGGTGAAACAAAAGGACTTACAGGTGAACTGGATGGGGAGTGAGGTGGGGGCAGCGGGGGTAGGGGAAAGAGAAGCATGGAGGATGACAGGTCTACCCTACCATAAAGAAGTACCACTTTTTTTCTGTGTTTTTCAAGCAGTTGGAAGGATACCTAGAAATTCTTAAGATAAATTTTTCTTTTTTATTTAAAGTTTTTATTGTTGACACTATTGCAGATGTTCCCCATTTCCTTCCCCAAGAGAATTTAAGATAGTTTACTTAAAAGATACTGCTTTTGAGGAATTCTTATATCAGTAGGGGTAAGATTTCACCATGGGTTCAAATGCAACAATTTGTGTTAAAGCAAGAATGCAATTATAATTCTTGCAACTCCATTTGATGAATCATTCATTCTTTCAAACTACTGCCTGCTCCAGGAAAGAATTTCTTCTTAACCAGTTTCTGATCTAAGAGCCACAACTAACTTTATATACAAACTGGTTTCATCTACAAGTGCCCTTCACAAGAAAACCATTAAAATCTGAGATAATGTTGAGAGCTGATCCTGGCACTCACTAAATAATCTGTGAGCAGGTTACAGAGTCTGACCTGACACAGTCCTTCAACATTAATCAGATTTCTCTCAGAATAGAGTGCAACCTTTCAGGCACCTGTTTGCTTTTATATGGGAAAAAGAACTCAGGCAAAATTCCATTGGCTAAATCTCTTTAGGGGAAAAAGAGATTAAAAAAACCATATAAACTTTTCAATAAAGCTATAGGGGGGTGGGGGTGGAAGGAGGGAAGCCTTAGCATACATATATAATTTACTTACAAAGAACAACTTATATAATATGAAGAACCATAGTTGGGATTAGAATCAGGCTAAAACCAGAATAATCTTTCACATGTACATCTGAAACCTAATTCATACTAGGCAATTATTTCTATAAAGAAATGAATATTTCCTCTTTTACATTAGCAAAAGCTTCAATCCACAAAAAGAGAGGACACCTTTTATTTTTATTATTATTTTTTAATTTTATTTT